TGCGTGCATGTGCGCCGCTCATCCCCCTCTGCCTGCGTGCATGTGCGCCGCTCATCCCCCTCTGCCTGCGTGCATGTGCGCCGCTCATCCCCCTCTGCCTGCGTGCATGTGCGCCGCTCATCCCCCTCTGCCTGCGTGCATGTGCGCCGCTCATCCCCCTCTGCCTGCGTGCATGTGCGCCGCTCATCCCCCTCTGCCTGCGTGCATGTGCGCCGCTCATCCCCCTCTGCCTGCGTGCATGTGCGCCGCTCATCCCCCTCTGCCTGCGTGCATGTGCGCCGCTCATCCCCCTCTGCCTGCGTGCATGTGCGCCGCTCATCCCCCTCTGCCTGCGTGCATGTGCGCCCCTCATCCCCCTCTGCCTGCGTGCATGTGCGCCGCTCATCCCCCTCTGCCTGCGTGCATGTGCGCCGCTCATCCCCCTCTGCCTGCGTGCATGTGCGCCGCTCATCCCCCTCTGCCTGCGTGCATGTGCGCCGCTCATCCCCCTCTGCCTGCGTGCATGTGCGCCGCTCATCCCCCTCTGCCTGCGTGCATGTGCGCCGCTCATCCCCCTCTGCCTGCGTGCATGTGCGCCGCTCATCCCCCTCTGCCTGCGTGCATGTGCGCCGCTCATCCCCCTCTGCCTGCGTGCATGTGCGCCGCTCATCCCCCTCTGCCTGCGTGCATGTGCGCCGCTCATCCCCCTCTGCCTGCGTGCATGTGCGCCGCTCATCCCCCTCTGCCTGCGTGCATGTGCGCCGCTCATCCCCCTCTGCCTGCGTGCATGTGCGCCGCTCATCCCCCTCTGCCTGCGTGCATGTGCGCCGCTCATCCCCCTCTGCCTGCGTGCATGTGCGCCGCTCATCCCCCTCTGCCTGCGTGCATGTGCGCCGCTCATCCCCCTCTGCCTGCGTGCATGTGCGCCGCTCATCCCCCTCTGCCTGCGTGCATGTGCGCCGCTCATCCCCCTCTGCCTGCGTGCATGTGCGCCGCTCATCCCCCTCTGCCTGCGTGCATGTGCGCCGCTCATCCCCCTCTGCCTGCGTGCATGTGCGCCGCTCATCCCCCTCTGCCTGCGTGCATGTGCGCCGCTCATCCCCCTCTGCCTGCGTGCATGTGCGCCGCTCATCCCCCTCTGCCTGCGTGCATGTGCGCCGCTCATCCCCCTCTGCCTGCGTGCATGTGCGCCGCTCATCCCCCTCTGCCTGCGTGCATGTGCGCCGCTCATCCCCCTCTGCCTGCGTGCATGTGCGCCGCTCATCCCCCTCTGCCTGCGTGCATGTGCGCCGCTCATCCCCCTCTGCCTGCGTGCATGTGCGCCCCTCATCCCCCTCTGCCTGCGTGCATGTGCGCCGCTCATCCCCCTCTGCCTGCGTGCATGTGCGCCGCTCATCCCCCTCTGCCTGCGTGCATGTGCGCCGCTCATCCCCCTCTGCCTGCGTGCATGTGCGCCGCTCATCCCCCTCTGCCTGCGTGCATGTGCGCCGCTCATCCCCCTCTGCCTGCGTGCATGTGCGCCGCTCATCCCCCTCTGCCTGCGTGCATGTGCGCCGCTCATCCCCCTCTGCCTGCGTGCATGTGCGCCGCTCATCCCCCTCTGCCTGCGTGCATGTGCGCCGCTCATCCCCCTCTGCCTGCGTGCATGTGCGCCGCTCATCCCCCTCTGCCTGCGTGCATGTGCGCCGCTCATCCCCCTCTGCCTGCGTGCATGTGCGCCCCTCATCCCCCTCTGCCTGCGTGCATGTGCGCCGCTCATCCCCCTCTGCCTGCGTGCATGTGCGCCGCTCATCCCCCTCTGCCTGCGTGCATGTGCGCCGCTCATCCCCCTCTGCCTGCGTGCATGTGCGCCGCTCATCCCCCTCTGCCTGCGTGCATGTGCGCCGCTCATCCCCCTCTGCCTGCGTGCATGTGCGCCGCTCATCCCCCTCTGCCTGCGTGCATGTGCGCCGCTCATCCCCCTCTGCCTGCGTGCATGTGCGCCGCTCATCCCCCTCTGCCTGCGTGCATGTGCGCCGCTCATCCCCCTCTGCCTGCGTGCATGTGCGCCGCTCATCCCCCTCTGCCTGCGTGCATGTGCGCCGCTCATCCCCCTCTGCCTGCGTGCATGTGCGCCGCTCATCCCCCTCTGCCTGCGTGCATGTGCGCCGCTCATCCCCCTCTGCCTGCGTGCATGTGCGCCGCTCATCCCCCTCTGCCTGCGTGCATGTGCGCCCCTCATCCCCCTCTGCCTGCGTGCATGTGCGCCGCTCATCCCCCTCTGCCTGCGTGCATGTGCGCCGCTCATCCCCCTCTGCCTGCGTGCATGTGCGCCGCTCATCTCCACCTCTCGCCTCACACTGCCTGCCTCCCCTTATCATCGCGTCGTCCTCCCCATCCCCTCATCCCTCTGCACCCCTATCATCTCCCCCGAACCCCTCACCACCTTGCGTGGCAGGACGTGTGTGCGTCTGACAAGGCGTACAACTGTCACAACAACGTGCGCTCCACACTCTCCCTCGAAGTCGACCTCGTCCGTGATGGGTGCGTCTTGCCGTGCCTTGCCTTGCATGCACCACGCCTTGCATGCACCACGCCTTGCACGCACCACGCCTTGCATGCACCACGCCTTGCATGCACCACGCCTTGCATGCACCACGCCTTGCATGCACCACGCCATGCACGCAACACCCCTCACATGCAACATCCCTCACATGCAGCATCCCTCACATGCAACACCCCTCACATGCAGCATCCCTCACATGCAACACCCCTCACATGCAGCATCCCTCACATGCGACACCCCTCGCATGCAACACCCCTCACATGCGACACCCCTCGCATGCAACACCCCTCACATGCGACACCCCTCGCATGCACGCCTGGCTGTTGGGCAAGGGATTGTGTCATGCAAGACGTGTTGCATGCAAGGCGTGTTTTATTCTTGTGCTTATCACTCCCATTTACCCCCCTACTCCTGGGCACCAGGCACGTGAGGTTCAACTTCACAGTGAGTGCGGAGATGGGGCGGGACGGGCTCTCCTTCTTCATCGACTCGCTCTCACAGCCCGCCATGGCGCTCGAGTCCTACCAGTTTGAGCCGCGCGAGGTGGTGTTCCCGCTCACCGCGGGGCACCACACGCTGGTGTGGCTCTACTCCAAGGACCAGCGCTGGACCAAGGGGGAGGACATCGCGACTCTCAGGGTGAGTGCCGGCAGGGCAAAGGCATTGCGTTGCTCAGAGTCAGGGCCGTTTTAGGCACCGCAGACGTGTTTTGAGACGCCTCACCGCGGGGCACCACACGCTCGTGTGGCTCTTCTCCAGGGCCAGCGCTGGCTCTTTCCAGGGCGAGGATATTGCCAGTGCTAGTGAGTGCCGGCACGGCCAACACACTGCGTTGCTCAGTGTGAGTGAGGGTGGTTTCACGCACCTCACACGTGTCGTGTGGGTCCCAAGGGGTTTCAAGGGTCCGTGCGATGCCGTGCTGTGGTTGTCTGTGTTGAGCCACGTGCATCGAATCAAACAGCATGCATCCTTGGCCCTTCATCTTTCACCTCGTCTGTCCTCCACAGCCCTGCATCCATTGCTCCACACTCACCTGCCACTGGTTCTGTGCCCTCGCCTCTCTGTCCCCCTCCGTTTAATGTTCCGCTCGTCCTCCCCTCCCCTCCCCTCCCCGCCCCGCCCCTGCCCCCGCCCCCGCAGTTCATAGAGGTGGACGGTATTGGTTTTAACGACTTTGCCTGCACGCCCTGTGAAGCCGGCTTCTACAGGTGTGGTGCATGGATGCATTCATGGGGGCATGTGGGGGAGCACAAGGGTTATGCATTCATGGGGGCATGTGGGCAAGGGAGCACAAGGGTTATGCATTCATGGGGGCATGTGGGCAAGGGAGCACAAGGGTTATGCATTCATGGGGGCATGCGTGCATGGGGGAATGATGTGGGGTTTGATTCCTCTACAGGTGTCCCGGCGTCACATACCCATCCTCTCTCGCCGTTCTCCCACCCCACCCACGTCCTCCTCCCCTGCCACCTCCCCCTTTCCCCGCCTCTCTCCGTCGATGCCCTTATCTTATGATGAGCAGTGCGGCGGGGGCCAGCACATGTCTGCCGTGTGCCCCCAACACAGTGTCCAGGTGTGTACCCTCATGCCACATCGCTCCTCTGTGTGCCTCTGCTCGTACCTGCCCTAGTCCCACATGATCCTACCAGGGTTGCTACAGGCCTTGCCTGTGTCGACCCGTGAGTGCCATCATGCCAATTTTGCCCACCGTTCCTCCTCCCTGCCACCTTCACTTGCTGCACTGCGCCACCCTCCACCGCATTGCATCCCTTCCCCTGTCGCCTGCTGGTCTCTCCATCGTTCTTTACCCCATCTTACCATGCATCATGTCACCATCTTCCCACCGCCCGTGGTGACAGTGCGGGGGCGGCGGAGTGCAAGGCATGTGCAGCGGAGCAGTACGCGCAGATCATCCCGCGCACGCAGTGCCTTGACCGACCCAGTGAGCCCCGCCCCTCTGCTCTGCCTCACCCTGTGCTGTGCCACCCCTGTGCCACCCCTGTGCCACCCCTGTGCCACCCCTGTGCCACCCCTGTGCCACCCCTGTGCCACCCCTGTACCACCCCTGTACCACCCCTGTGCCACCCCTGTGCCACCCCTGTGCCACCCCTGTGCCACCCCTGTGCCACCCCTGTGCCACACTGCACACCACATGCCTTCTCAAGTGCACCTCTGCATTCAACCCCACTCTGTTGCTTGCTGCTTTCAATGCCATCCCTCACCCACTCACTGCTCCACTCTCCTCTCCACCGCGCGCCTCTCTGCTCTCTCTCCCTCTGCTCTCTCTCCCTCTGCTCTCTCTCCCTCTGCTCTCTCTCCCTCTGCTCTCTCCCTCTGCTCTCTCTCCCTCTGCTCTCTCCCTCTGCTCTCTCTCCCTCTGCTCTCTCCCTCTGCTCTCTCTCCCTCTGCCCTCCCGCAGCCTGCAGGGTGGACCGTGATGCCACGTCAGTCATTGGCCCCTGCAAGCTCACCACACTCACCCGCACCAAGGTCTGCCCTCTTCCCCATGGTTTCTGTCTTTCAAGGGTTGTGCATCTCATGCTTGTTTCTGCATCTCATGCTTGTTTCTGCATCGCATGCTTGTTTCTGCATCGCATGCTTGTTTCTGCATCGCATGCTTGTTTCTGCATCGCATGCTTGTTTCTGCATCGCATGCTTGTTTCTGCATCGCATGCTTGTTTCTGCATCGCATGCTTGTTTCTGCATCTCATGCTTGTTTCTGCATCGCATGCTTGTTTCTGCATCGCATGCTTGTTTCTGCATCTCATGCTTGTTTCTGCATCGCATGCTTGTTTCTGCATCGCATGCTTGTTTCTGCATCGCATGCTTGTTTCTGCATCGCATGCTTGTTTCTGCATCGCATGCTTGTTTCTGCATCGCATGCTTGTTTCTGCATCGCATGCTTGTTTCTGCATCGCATGCTTGTTTCTGCATCGCATGCTTGTTTCTGCATCGCATGCTTGTTTCTGCATCGCATGCTTGTTTCTGCATCGCATGCTTGTTTCTGCATCTCATGCTTGTTTCTGCATCGCATGCTTGTTTCTGCATCGCATGCTTGTTTCTGCATCGCATGCTTGTTTCTGCATCTCATGCTTGTTTCTGCATCTCATGCTTGTTTCTGCATCGCATGCTTGTTTCTGCATCGCATGCTTGTTTCTGCATCGCATGCTTGTTTCTGCATCGCATGCTTGTTTCTGCATCGCATGCTTGTTTCTGCATCTCATGCTTGTTTCTGCATCGCATGCTTGTTTCTGCATCGCATGCTTGTTTCTGCATCGCATGCTTGTTTCTGCATCGCATGCTTGTTTCTGCATCGCATGCTTGTTTCTGCATCGCATGCTTGTTTCTGCATCGCATGCTTGTTTCTGCATCTCATGCTTGTTTTCCTCATCGCATGCTTGTTTCTGCATCGCATGCTTGTTTCTGCATCGCATGCTTGTTTCTGCATCGCATGCTTGTTTCTGCATCGCATGCTTGTTTCTGCATCGCATGCTTGTTTCTGCATCGCATGCTTGTTTCTGCATCGCATGCTTGTTTCTGCATCGCATGCTTGTTTCTGCATCTCATGCTTGTTTCTGCATCGCATGCTTGTTTCTGCATCTCATGCTTGTTTCTGCATCGCATGCTTGTTTCTGCATCGCATGCTTGTTTCTGCATCGCATGCTTGTTTCTGCATCGCATGCTTGTTTCTGCATCGCATGCTTGTTTCTGCATCGCATGCTTGTTTCTGCATCGCATGCTTGTTTCTGCATCGCATGCTTGTTTCTGCATCGCATGCTTGTTTCTGCATCGCATGCTTGTTTCTGCATCGCATGCTTGTTTCTGCATCGCATGCTTGTTTCTGCATCGCATGCTTGTTTCTGCATCGCATGCTTGTTTCTGCATCGCATGCTTGTTTCTGCATCGCATGCTTGTTTCTGCATCTCATGCTTGTTTCTGCATCGCATGCTTGTTTCTGCATCGCATGCTTGTTTCTGCATCGCATGCTTGTTTCTGCATCTCATGCTTGTTTCTGCATCGCATGCTTGTTTCTGCATCGCATGCTTGTTTCTGCATCGCATGCTTGTTTCTGCATCGCATGCTTGTTTCTGCATCGCATGCTTGTTTCTGCATCGCATGCTTGTTTCTGCATCGCATGCTTGTTTCTGCATCTCATGCTTGTTTCTGCATCGCATGCTTGTTTCTGCATCGCATGCTTGTTTCTGCATCGCATGCTTGTTTCTGCATCGCATGCTTGTTTCTGCATCGCATGCTTGTTTCTGCATCGCATGCTTGTTTCTGCATCGCATGCTTGTTTCTGCATCTCATGCTTGTTTCTGCATCGCATGCTTGTTTCTGCATCGCATGCTTGTTTCTGCATCGCATGCTTGTTTCTGCATCGCATGCTTGTTTCTGCATCTCATGCTTGTTTCTGCATCGCATGCTTGTTTCTGCATCGCATGCTTGTTTCTGCATCGCATGCTTGTTTCTGCATCGCATGCTTGTTTCTGCATCGCATGCTTGTTTCTGCATCGCATGCTTGTTTCTGCATCGCATGCTTGTTTCTGCATCGCATGCTTGTTTCTGCATCGCATGCTTGTTTCTGCATCGCATGCTTGTTTCTGCATCGCATGCTTGTTTCTGCATCGCATGCTTGTTTCTGCATCGCATGCTTGTTTCTGCATCTCATGCTTGTTTCTGCATCGCATGCTTGTTTCTGCATCGCATGCTTGTTTCTGCATCGCATGCTTGTTTCTGCATCTCATGCTTGTTTCTGCATCGCATGCTTGTTTCTGCATCGCATGCTTGTTTCTGCATCGCATGCTTGTTTCTGCATCTCATGCTTGTTTCTGCATCGCATGCTTGTTTCTGCATCGCATGCTTGTTTCTGCATCGCATGCTTGTTTCTGCATCGCATGCTTGTTTCTGCATCGCATGCTTGTTTCTGCATCTCATGCTTGTTTCTGCATCGCATGCTTGTTTCTGCATCGCATGCTTGTTTCTGCATCGCATGCTTGTTTCTGCATCGCATGCTTGTTTCTGCATCTCATGCTTGTTTCTGCATCGCATGCTTGTTTCTGCATCGCATGCTTGTTTCTGCATCTCATGCTTGTTTCTGCATCGCATGCTTGTTTCTGCATCTCATGCTTGTTTCTGCATCGCATGCTTGTTTCTGCATCGCATGCTTGTTTCTGCATCGCATGCTTGTTTCTGCATCGCATGCTTGTTTCTGCATCGCATGCTTGTTTCTGCATCGCATGCTTGTTTCTGCATCGCATGCTTGTTTCTGCATCGCATGCTTGTTTCTGCATCTCATGCTTGTTTCTGCATCGCATGCTTGTTTCTGCATCGCATGCTTGTTTCTGCATCGCATGCTTGTTTCTGCATCGCATGCTTGTTTCTGCATCTCATGCTTGTTTCTGCATCGCATGCTTGTTTCTGCATCGCATGCTTGTTTCTGCATCGCATGCTTGTTTCTGCATCTCATGCTTGTTTCTGCATCTCATGCTTGTTTCTGCATCGCATGCTTGTTTCTGCATCGCATGCTTGTTTCTGCATCGCATGCTTGTTTCTGCATCGCATGCTTGTTTCTGCATCGCATGCTTGTTTCTGCATCGCATGCTTGTTTCTGCATCGCATGCTTGTTTCTGCATCGCATGCTTGTTTCTGCATCGCATGCTTGTTTCTGCATCGCATGCTTGTTTCTGCATCGCATGCTTGTTTCTGCATCGCATGCTTGTTTCTGCATCGCATGCTTGTTTCTGCATCGCATGCTTGTTTCTGCATCGCATGCTTGTTTCTGCATCGCATGCTTGTTTCTGCATCGCATGCTTGTTTCTGCATCGCATGCTTGTTTCTGCATCGCATGCTTGTTTCTGCATCGCATGCTTGTTTCTGCATCGCATGCTTGTTTCTGCATCGCATGCTTGTTTCTGCATCGCATGCTTGTTTCTGCATCGCATGCTTGTTTCTGCATCGCATGCTTGTTTCTGCATCGCATGCTTGTTTCTGCATCGCATGCTTGTTTCTGCATCGCATGCTTGTTTCTGCATCGCATGCTTGTTTCTGCATCGCATGCTTGTTTCTGCATCGCATGCTTGTTTCTGCATCGCATGCTTGTTTCTGCATCGCATGCTTGTTTCTGCATCGCATGCTTGTTTCTGCATCGCATGCTTGTTTCTGCATCGCATGCTTGTTTCTGCATCGCATGCTTGTTTCTGCATCGCATGCTTGTTTCTGCATCGCATGCTTGTTTCTGCATCGCATGCTTGTTTCTGCATCGCATGCTTGTTTCTGCATCGCATGCTTGTTTCTGCATCGCATGCTTGTTTCTGCATCGCATGCTTGTTTCTGCATCGCATGCTTGTTTCTGCATCGCATGCTTGTTTCTGCATCGCATGCTTGTTTCTGCATCGCATGCTTGTTTCTGCATCGCATGCTTGTTTCTGCATCGCATGCTTGTTTCTGCATCGCATGCTTGTTTCTGCATCGCATGCTTGTTTCTGCATCGCATGCTTGTTTCTGCATCGCATGCTTGTTTCTGCATCGCATGCTTGTTTCTGCATCGCATGCTTGTTTCTGCATCGCATGCTTGTTTCTGCATCGCATGCTTGTTTCTGCATCGCATGCTTGTTTCTGCATCGCATGCTTGTTTCTGCATCGCATGCTTGTTTCTGCATCGCATGCTTGTTTCTGCATCGCATGCTTGTTTCTGCATCGCATGCTTGTTTCTGCATCGCATGCTTGTTTCTGCATCGCATGCTTGTTTCTGCATCGCATGCTTGTTTCTGCATCGCATGCTTGTTTCTGCATCGCATGCTTGTTTCTGCATCGCATGCTTGTTTCTGCATCGCATGCTTGTTTCTGCATCGCATGCTTGTTTCTGCATCGCATGCTTGTTTCTGCATCGCATGCTTGTTTCTGCATCGCATGCTTGTTTCTGCATCGCATGCTTGTTTCTGCATCGCATGCTTGTTTCTGCATCGCATGCTTGTTTCTGCATCGCATGCTTGTTTCTGCATCGCATGCTTGTTTCTGCATCGCATGCTTGTTTCTGCATCGCATGCTTGTTTCTGCATCGCATGCTTGTTTCTGCATCGCATGCTTGTTTCTGCATCGCATGCTTGTTTCTGCATCGCATGCTTGTTTCTGCATCGCATGCTTGTTTCTGCATC